CTAAACTATACACACTACACCCTAAACTATACACACTACACCCTAAATCCTTAACTCACTAAACCTAAATCCTAAAACCTACATCCTAAACCTTACACCCTAAAACCCCTCACTCTACATCCTACACCCCCCCCATCTCATCACCTTCACCCTAAGCCCTAAACCCCACACCCTGATCTCAACCCTAAACCCTAAACCCCACACCCTGATCTCAACACTAAGCCCTAAACCCCACACCCTGATCTCAACACTAAGCCCTAAACCCCACACCCTGATCTCAACACTAATCCCTAAACCCCACATCCTGAACCAGAAACTCTCAATCCTCGTACAGTAAAGGGCTTTTATTTATGTGACTGTAACAGTGGTTGTTTCCCGTTTCCTCTTTCAGTGATAAACTCTTCCCAGTGTTCGGTTTTGGAGCCAAACTGCCTCCAGATTACCAGGTCAGCTGTCCAACAAACCAATCACAACACAGCATTCTAGAGGCTCTATTGCTCTCTCAAGTGCGGCAATCATTAATCATTTTTAACCATGTCTGCGACGTAAAATCATTTCCTGATTTTGTGATTTGGTTGAATTAAATTACTATTTTGAAAATCTGAAAGTTGAAGTGACGGCATCAGTTTTCTGAGCGACCGATGAGAGAAGAGCTTGTGGATTGTCATTGTTTATTGAACCGTTGTGTTGTTGATCTTGCAGGCTGCAAACCACGAGTTCGCCCTCAACTTCAACCCCACTAACCCCTACTGCAAAGGTACACATACACACAGTCCTGTACTCTGAATCCTCATTCTAAATCCTACTTAAGTAAAAGTTCTCAATTAAAAGTACTCTTTCTGCAAAAGAAAGGCAACTGAGATATTATTCTATATGAGTCTAGTACTGATGTATTAATGTGAAACTAGCATTTTACTATTGTTACCAGTCCAGATGGAGCTAGTTATCAACTTTATTTTCTTATAAAAATAATATTTAGTATTTTAGCCCAAAGGTTCCCAACCTAAGGGCCGTGCCCCCTTCAAAGGGTCACAAGACTGGGGGTTGTGAGACACTTAAAGAAAAATGAAATATATATTTATTTTTTTAAACTTTTCTCAAATCTTCTTTTCTTGTGAAATGAATGCAGCTGAAAACGTATCAACTCTAATTTCACAGCCTGTTTTCTCTGTTTCCATGTTTGCCTGCATTGTTACAGCTGCTCAGCATGTCTGAAATATTTCCATCTCTGTTAAACCGCTTCCCGTCTGTCTCTCGCAGGTATTGAGGGGATCATTGAGGCCTACAGGATGGTGATGCCTCAGCTGAGACTCTCTGGACCCACAAACTTCTCTCCCATCATCAATCACGTGTCCTCCATCGCCGCCCAAGCAGCGCAGAGCAACAACGCCTCTGTGAGGACACACTCAAACACACACACACAATTTAAACCAAAAGCACACACACACTCACCCATGTCTGTATCTCTCTGCAGCAATACTTTGTCCTCCTCATCCTCACTGACGGTGAGATCACCGACCTCGATCAGACCCGGGACGCCATCGTCCGGGCGTCGCGTCTGCCGCTGTCAATCATCATTGTGGGGGTGGGGCCGGCGGACTTTAAGGCCATGGAGCTCCTGGACGGAGACGACGGCGTGCTGAAGTCGACAGTGGGGGAGGCCGTCTCCAGAGACATCGTCCAGTTCGTCCCGTACAGACAGTTCAAAGATGTAAGTGTGTGAGTGTGTGTGTGTGTGTGTGTGTGTGTGTGTGTGTGTGTGTGTGTGTGACTCAGTGATTTGTTGTAAAGATAGACAGAAGATAAAGATTTACACAGATTTATACATACAGATTTAAAAAACAACAATGTCCTGATAGGCTCTTACATCCCGTCTCTCTTTGTCTCTCTCTCCAGGCTCCACAGGCGTCTCTGGCTAAGTCTGTCCTCGCTGAGGTTCCCAACCAGCTGGTCTCTTATTTCAAGATGAGAGGCCTCGAACCACTTAAACCAGCTACAGCTGCACCCAAATCCTAAACCGTGCACCCACAAAGCCCAAACACCACCTGTGCACTCCCTAAGCCCACCCTCAAAGCTGAAGGCCCGCCCTCTTCTCATTCCAGGATCAGACCACTCGCGAAGTCGACCACCCTTCAGGGGACCAACCTGATGTGTTGCTAGAATCTCAGCCAATCACAAATCGCAACCTTTTCTTTTTTTTTAAACAGTTTTATAGTGGCTTTATTTTCTAATGTTTCTCTTCAATGAGAGGGATGATAATAATTTAGTATAGATGATTTATAATTGATTCCTTCTGCTGCTTGCACACTAACTATGCAGCTCACATGTCATTACTAACATGCGTTTAATAATCACAGAGCCACACACACACACACACACACTGAAAAAGTGTCAAAGTTAACTTTGTATGTGTGGAGACAAATTGGGCTTCACTTCAATGCAGGCTCACCACAGCAGCATCAAGTGGACATTAGAGGAACTGCAGCTGCAGGTAACTCACCGTACATAGTCCATGTTGCCAATCCAACACCATGGTCTAGCTGTGTGTGAGTGTGTGGATCTGATTAGCTTTATTGATCGGGTATCGATACTTAGCACTTTGCTCTTGCACTAAATGCTGGAATATTGTATCATGAATGATATTATATACTCTTTATCATAGCTTTAATACTATCGCCTTAATATAGAACTTTACTACAGCCTTAACATAACATGTTACTATTGCCTCAAGTAGTCTTTAGTGCAGCCTGTATGGCCTTCTGCTCGCTGTGTTCTCAGACTGTTCTGTCACGACTCTCAGTGGTTTGCTGATGCCATCTTGGCTCCCAGCGCAGAACGCATCTCTACCACCAAGCATTGGGTCTGGCCCCTGTTTGACCAAACTTGATCACCTAACAGTATTACACACAGGTCATCATCAATTAATCAATTATGGTAACCCGCCATCCCACAGTACCTGAGCATCACACTGAGAGTCTTGTCTGAACATCTGCTCTATTTATTTGCCAAAGACTGTCTTCTGAATGCTGGAATGACCTGAACACACACAAGCTTGTGTCAAAACTCATGTTTACTGCAGCAATCACTTAGAATTTACTTTTAATCACTTATATCACCGCCACCTTTACTGTGGATGTTTTTTTCAGGGTTCATTTTACAGAAAGTACATTTTTTGTGTATTTCTAGCACTGAGGTTCATTCATGTTTGGGCACAAAATAACGATTGAAAGCTCTTGAGGAACAGCTAGTAAGTTAGGAAAGTGAGTAGAGATTATTTTGTCAAACACATCATTGGTGTAGTTTTAGTTGAAGCGGTGTTTTATGTATCCGGCAGTTTGTCTTCTGTCTGCCTCTGTGGTGCCATCAGTCTGCCATCAGTCTGCTGCCAACCAAACCAACCTTGTTTGGTTGGTTTTTGGACAACAAGATAATAATAGAAACTGTTACCTGATGATGATGATGAAGAGAAAAATAAGTTTACAGCTTCTTCTGCCTCATCTTAAATTTGTCAGGTTTTTATGTTTTGACAAAATGTCAAAATCAGTTCTTCCAGAAGTAGAGGATGAAAGTGTTGATTTGTAAAAATGTTTTCTAGATTCATCTACAGTTGAGGAGAATAACATCGTTGTGACCTCGTGAGCAAAGTAATGTCTTGTGAACAATTCATACTTTACCTCAAACATATCTGCTGTGTCAACGGTTGATTCAGCCAAAGAATGATTTGGTTTTTTTGGTCTTATATGAACACATTTTGGAAACATTGAGTGGTAAAAGTATCCATCAATTACAAAAAAAAGAAGCGAACATTAAAAATGAAATGACCCCTTTGTGACCGGGAACCACTGGTTTGCTTTCCAGGTCTTCTAAATCACAGTTCTCTGTAGAAGACATTTTTTAGCAATCAACCTATTCAACTTTATTACTTTCTGGGAAATTGTAGAAAACATCCAGAGATGCAGCGCCATTTTTTCTTTTTTTTTTTACCATATGTCTTTATTCAATCATCTTCCATAAAAAACATGCAAACTTCTAAGTTCTGAGTGAGAGAGTCCATTTTGACCATGTAAACGGTAACACAAAAAGTACCATAAAATGCACTTGAATGCTCCGTATGAAGCTAATTAAATGGACCATCACTTCAGACTAATTTGTTTGTTTTGATGCCAAAGTGCATTACATTGTGTAGATTGAAGTTTGTCCTCTCAGGCTGCCATGAACTCCTTTTTTTCTTTTTTGTTGCCAAGAACTTGTTTGAGGGAAATTATGTATTCACAAATGTGGTTTAAAGTGTTAGAAGTATTCGAATGGAGGAAACTTTAGCCAAAAAGCTGCAGTTTTCATTTTAAACAGCAAAGTGAATATTATCATTATAGAAATCTGATCTGAGTTCAGCTGATCATGCTGTATTGTCACTGCAACCTTAGCTGCGTGGTCACATGGTGCTGTGATGTCATCAAGTAAAGGAGTAAATGTTTCCAAATTTCAAAAAGCTGCTGTCACTGAGAGAAAAAACAAGAGAAAATGCTGCCTTAGCTTGTCTTCATAAAGAACTACCCCTCCCACAATGCTTTGCTCCACAGTGCTGCCTTGCTCACTGTAATCAAACAGCTGTTAACCTCTTTACTCTGTAAAAAGTTTGTTAAACTGATTGATCCACGGCATTATGTGACCACCAGCTCACTTATTCAACTAACTGCTATTAACTTACCAGAATAACTAAACCAGTGTAACCCGTAACATCATGTCTGTATGAATGTACCTGTTAGAATACAATAATAAAAACAACTTTGGGAAAGAAAACAATATTTACTGTGGCTGTCAGACTAGTATTTTTTCCTGGTGTGTCCTGGAGGTGATTCAAGCTGACTTGTCTTTTCCGGTAAGTAGTGTTTACAACATTCTAGATACGTAGAAAACTTTAAGTAAAATGAACAAGTAAACAGTTTGTTTTACTTTACTTTTCTAGTTTTCTTCTTTCTTCCAGCAGAGAAACCAAACACCAGACTTCATGAAGAAAAGAGTAACTTTAATCCAGTACTTTGACTTGTGAATACTACTTCCACTGGTGTGTGTGTGTGTCTGTGTGCGTGTGCGCGTGCGTGTGTGTGTGTTTTATAAGGAGGAAACTAGTTGAGCAGCTCTATTTGCTTTCTCAAACATTAGAGAGGACCTGCCCTAACAGACACACAAGAAAGACGACAGAAAGAGAGCTGATGAGACGACTTCAGAGAGACACGATGTAGACAGGTAGACGGGTGAACAGGTAGACAGGTAGACAGGTGAACAGGTAGACAGGTGAACAGGTAGACAGGTGAACAGGTAGACAGGTTTGTACAGACAGTCATCAGGATCATCATGTCCATCAGTGTGAATCTGAGGAAGATCTCCAACCTGCCGGGACGATACGACAGAAAGGTTGAACTCTGCTTCAGAGGTCAGTAACAAACACTCACCTGTCTGTTTGTATCTAAGCGGAGAAAACTTCTCCTTTCTATTAATTCGCACTCTACGGCCAAAAGTACGTGGACTACCCTGAATTTAGTGTACTTCTGGTCTCTGGATTGTTTTCATGGTTTGTTTTGGACAGCTTTAAAAGTAACTGAGTACATTTACTAAAGTATTGTACTTTAGTACTTGAGTATTTCCATTTAATGCTACTTTATACATTTCAGAGGCAAATAGTGTACTTTTTACTGCACTAGTTACTGGTTACTTGATGATGTAATATTAAAGATAAAACTGTATTCACAAGCTTCCCAGTACACGATATGAGCACTTCCACCAGATCCGTTGAAAGTAGAAATACCACACTGAAAACCTTCATTTTAAGTAAAGCACTTAACTTGAATATCTAAATTCAGACCACACAATCATCATGTTGTGTCATTGTCTTTTTCCAGTGTAGTAGTGAAGAAGGGTACTGTGTGTTTCTTAAAAGTTTCTTAAATATAATTGAAAATAAGAAGAACTCTGTCGATACCTCTCTGTCCTGTAATATATCTAATGACACCATCTTTTCTGCACAATACCACCAACAACTGAGCGCGGTGAATTAACTCTGAATACCACTTTGAAGCTGTATTTACTCGAGTACTGTACTTAAGTACAATTATAACATCCATTTTTACTCCACTACATTCATCAGCAAAAATATAAGTTACTGGTTACTTTATTAATGCAAAACATAAACCAAACTTATGATGTATTATTAAAGGTTAAGTTTTTACTTGAGTACATTTTTGAATGCAGGACTTGTACTTGTAACATTTAAACATTATGGTAATGATACTTTTACTCAGGTTAAAGATCTGAGTACTTTTTTCCACCACTGCCTCCATGGTTGGGTGAGTTTCACCAGCCAGTTATCTGTCTGTCTGTCTGTCCTCCAGGTTTCACCCATAAAGCCAAAGCCCTGCAGTGTGAGAACTTGGCCATCTTCAACGAGGTCAGTAAACATACTTCACTTCAGGCGGACACGTTCAGAGTCAATCAGAACACAGAACAATGATGTCATCATTAGAAACCAGCCGCAATTCCTCTGACGTCCACTAAAATTAGACTTTGGTGGTATTGAAGGGAATGGGATGTCAGAGTGAAGTCTACAGACGGTCAGTTCAGGGAGAAGCAGCTGTGAGGATGAGACGCAGCTGAGATTTCAGATCACATGACCTCCGTCATATCTGTTCTGTGTGTGTGTGTGTGTGTGTGTGTGTTACAGCAGGTAGCTGCAGGTGTTTGTCTGCTTTAGATAGAAACTATTTTAATGGAGCTGATCGGAAACTGTACCACTCCTACAGTACACACACACACACAGCCACTCCTTCAACACATACACACCTACAGATGT